CAAATAACGCTTTTAAATTCTCGATATGTTCGTCTTTATTACGTCCCGTCACCGCTATATCGTCTAAGTAACACGTTACTCCTCGTAATCCCTTCAAAGTTTCTTCCAGGAATTTCTGATTTTTTTCTGGAATACATGTCTACCCAAACGGCGAACGTTTATAAACAAACGTCCAAGTATGGGTGGTAATGGCTGTATACGCTTGTGATGTCTCATGCAACTCTAATTGTTGGTACGCGTTCGTGAGATCGATTTTTGAAAATTGTTCCCCTCCAGTTAACTACGCAAATAGCTCCTCGATTCGGGGTAGTGGGTACGGTTCGCGCACTAATTTTGAATTAACGGTGGCTTTGTAATCTCCACAAATGCGTATATCTCTCGATGTTTTTATCACTGGTACGATAGGCGTACCGTAATCCGAATGATCAAATTTATTAATCGTACCCTCCGCCTCGAGTCGTCGGAGCTCGTTCTCCACTGGTTCTCGCAGAGCTTTAATAAAAACAGGTGTTTTATCGGTCAAGTGCAACGATAATTTTTTGTGCATGTACCTAATCCCGGAGAGAACACAGCCGAAAATTCGCGACGCAAAACAAGACGATAATATGTCTGCTTACAAGAACAACACTTTCTCAAAATAATCGTTATCAACAATCTTCAAAATATACTAACAAACAGGCAATCTAAAGTAACCTTCGAATAAAAAGCAAAATTCGGCAAGACTTATGAATAAGCTACTTAAATGAGTCTAATTACATGAGATATTTGGGCTATTGCATGATTTATAGACAAAAACATAACGCATGCCGGTGTGATGTAACATTGTATTGATTTTCACCTTTTCTACTGCCACACCCCTTAATGCCGCAGCGACGCATTTTAATCAGTACTTAATTGTTCTCACTGTCAATATTTTCGTCCATTTCATTGAAATTAATGCGAATAATTCACTAAAACATTTGGCCAAACATTGGTTTTCACATTTGATGTACTTCCCTTTGACAACCGGAAACGGTTATCAAAGGGTACTCCAAAAATGGCAAAATGAGGACAGTTAGCATTTAAGATGACGTTACGTATTTTCGATTCCCGTGTTTGACATAAATCAATGTAGTGCTATCTCCTTTGGCTTACGACGGCACGCAGTAGTTAAACAAAGACAATAAAATGTTTATGTTTTCAATGTCTAAATGCATCATATACATATAACGTCAGAGTTATATATGTCAATATAACATGTCCTTCGGTTTCCATAGTCTAAGGTCTAAATGCATCATATACATATAACGTCTGCTTTATATATTTCGGTAGGAATCATATTTTTCATAGTGAACAATACGGGATTACTAGTGGTAGATCGACTAGCGATGCGGGGGTAGAGTTACTAAAACACACCTTTGATGCTTGGGAAAGGTCCCAGAACGCTATTGGTGTTTTCTGTGACCTCTCAAAGGCATTTGATTGCGTTGATCATATTACTCTTATTAGGAAGCTGGAACATTACGGTGTAAATGGCAAGGCGTCGAAACTTGTCTCGTCACTTCTCAACGGTAGAATTCAGAAAGTAGACATAAATGAAGTGACTTCTTTGGGTTCTCCGGTAAAAATGGGTGTTCCGCAGGGCTCAATACTTGGACCTTTCTTATTTCTGATTTATATTAATGATCTGCCATTCTTTATTAAGTACCATTGCGAAATAGTGTTGTTTGCTGATGACACATCCTTGATTTTTAAAACAGGCAGATGACATTAACTATGACCATATTAATGATACCCTCTCTAAGGTAGTTTATTAGTTTAATGCAATAAAACAATTTATTGCTTACTGCCAAGAAGATAAAATGTGTTAAATTTGGATTACCTTACGTAAAATCGACTAGTCCAAGCATAGAAATAAACGGAGAAAAGTTAGACCTTGTTAATAAAGCAGTCTCCTTTGAAGTGATCTTAGATAGTAAACTTCAATGGTTTCCACATATATCTTCCCTCGCCAGCAGATTAAGCTCCGCTGCATATGCAGTCCGTGGAATACGTGAGCTTACCGATGTTAGTACTGCTAGACTAGTTTACTTTTATTACTTCCATAGTATAACGTCCTACGGGATTCTCATGTGGGGTAAAGCAGCAGATATTCAAACCATATTTGTATTGCAAAAACAAGCATTCGTTCTGTGTACCATCTAAGCTCTCGGGCTTCTCTCAGAGAAAAGTTTAAGGAGACTAGTATCATGACTGTGGCATCACAGTACATTTACTCAATATTTTATATGCCCGTAAAAATATAAATTATTTCAATAAGAAAGAAGATATCCATAATGTTAACCTTAGAGCTACGTCCAAACTCATGGTACCACGATTTCATTTAACCAAGTTAAACAACTCTTTTATGGGGAACTGTATACTTTTTACAATAAGATTCCGGAGCATATATTATAAGTTTATCATTTCCGAAGTTTTAAAAGTACATTAAAAATATTATGATCGAAAAACCATATCACAAAATTGAAGACTACGTGTGAGATAAAGATGTATGGAAAGACGACACGGCTCCAGAATCCATACAAATTTGATTCAAAGTATATTCCACAGCATGTAAGTTTATTTGAAAAGAGCAATCCCTAGAGTTTCTTGCTCGTTCTTCTCAGGGAGGTCAGCATAGTGAACGAGCAGTAGCTTAAATGTGACGTTTTCAAGTTTAAATTTATTTTATCTATGGAACAAATAATCTTTGACTTTGACTTTGATAATGTCAATATAACATGTCCTTTAGTTTCTATAGTCTAAGGGTGCACCACAATCCATCGTCAAGTTCGAATTTATATATGAAAAAAGAGAAAGAAGGCCTTTCGGAGCTAGTGAAGTGAAAAGAATATTTCATTCATGCAAATAATTATAATTCTAACATTAACCTACAGAGAGTAAAGTTTTTACTCACCCCATTTACTTCCGTATAATACTGGACATCCCGCGTGTAATGTTCTTTGATCTAATTCTCCGGATGGAAGTAGGTTCTGCCAGAATACAGCTGTACCCTTTTTCGGTATTACTGTCAACTCTGGATCGGCAAACACAGTTGCTCCGCCTTGAATTACATCTGACATCTGCGTCAATGTGATTCTTAGAGAATGGAAAAAAATCTAAGACATCTGTAATCATACCTTATTTCTATCTTGCAACTATTTTCTTAATGTCCTCGCCAATCTTCGGATTTCCAAATGCACCCGAATACAAATTTGCATGAATAGACAAATTTGCATGACTAGAGTATAGACTCTAGCCAAATTCCATGTAGAATAAAATGTCGACAAACAAAAACATTATATTCGAGTAATCATTCAAATTAAGAATCGGGAATTAATGCTGGATGAAGGCTGCATGACATAATTATGTAGTAAATTGATATAAAATACAATACCGAGCAAGTTAAGAATAATTGTAATTTCGTGGAATTTTTATTTCTATTTTGCAACCTTTGAGGTGGATAATTTTCTTCAAACTTAAATGGGTTCAATACTAAGGTACCTTTCCAACAAAAAAAGAAACAAAAAATAGGTTCATAGCGTAGTATCGAGTATCGGGTTATCGCGTAACATACATACAAAAAAACAGTCGATTTGAGAACATCCTCCTTTTTATAAAGTCAGCTACAAAATACAGTGTGAATTCTATTCTATTTATAACCTAACATTAATCTTACACTTTTTGTTTCATTTCTTAATCTTTCATTTTCAATACATATAATTTGACTTACATAAACAAATAAATACTAGTAGGTATTCTATATATCTATCTACACATCTTTCACACCATGTTTTAAGCAAATTTCATTTCATTTCATTATGTACACTTCCAAGTTGAAATACGACGACACAACGTTTATCCAAAGATATATGTGTCGGATCCGTCAGGGTTTAGAACTGAATCTTCAGACATCGCTTCGGCAGATTTAGGTATCGTGCAATGAGATTACGTTGAACAGTAACACTATATTTTAATCATTTTGAAATCGAATAACAACTTGTACTTTCTATTAATTTTGACGACCAAAATAGGCACTAGGCGAAACGTAGGACAGTTTCTAAGTAGCGTGTGTGCAGCCCGAGAGTTCAACCACCAACGTTTCCTCCTTTGTAATCTGATGGCGCCTCTGTCTCGCAGTTTTTCGTCCGTGCTCATGACCGTTTCCGACATATACATACATATAGTTGTATTGTAGTTAATTTTATACTCACATAAATTAAAACAGTCGCTATTCTGTTTCCCATTTCTAGTTCTTCCCAGTCCTGTAAAAGAATGTCATTTTACATCATCAATGTAATATCTACATTGCACTGGTTACGGATGACGTTGACTCAGAGCAAGTTAGGGCTCTTACGCGTAAACACGATACGACGTCGCGTCGTGCTATGACGCGGCATCGTTTTATGATGCGACGTCGTATCGTGGAAATCTACGACGAGGAACGTCAAAATTCACGACACGACATCGCAATTTGTCACGACACACGGCACAACGTCGTATCGTAGAAACTCACGGTGAGTTCCCAGTGCCGCATTCATTTGTTATTCAATATTCAAAGATGACAGACGACATTGAGATTGATTATTTAATAACCCTAGTCGAGGAGCGTCCTGTAGTATCGGACAAAACATCAGAAGAATACAAAGTCATAAAAAACTCAAATTGGCTACATGTTCCAGATACGCGAAATTATCCAATGCTAGTTACACTCCTATATCCGACCATATAATTTTGGATATCAATTAATAAAATGTCATTCCGTAGACACGATTTCGCTAACATCATTAAATTATTACGTGAGAAAAAGTTGAAAAAAAAAATTCTATTGAGTTTATTAAATATCACGATATTCAATATTTTTTTATGAAATTACGCACTTGTTATAATTATTAATACAAAGATCGAACACTAACAAAATTCTTTCGATCCGGCTGGTTTCGCAAGCCATGCCATTTTTGTCTTAGTGTTCGATCTTTGTATTAATAATTCGTGTTAGATCTCTCAACTTGAATTATTATTACCTCAAAAGCATCGTAGTGCCAATCATAATGTCCTCCAATTCCGTAATTGAGTACCTGTAATTCTTCAGCATGTGTCAGACTCAGCCCGGTGAAATCAGCCGCACGCCGTCTCACTTTTGCTACGACATCCTCATCCTCGGATAGCCACGCATTTTTACCGGTGCGAAAATCCGCACATTTTCCATTATATACTTGGGCGCACTTCAACTGTAGCAAAATAAAAATATAAAGGGTGCCATTGTTAAATGGGCATTTCTCCTAGAAGGGCTAAAATTCTCTGAGTTCACTGGTTGAATTTTTTTCTTAATTTCAGGAAAAACATTGAGCGGTAAGGAAAAAGAACTCAAACTTACATAAGATTCTGTTAATTGGGCAACTAGATTCTTAATAGCTAATGACATATTTGATCCACCGAATTCAGCTACCATCGAAACCAGGATTTCTTGACAAAAGGCGTAATTTTTGTGCAAAATATTATGAAAAAAGCATTAAAAACTTTCAATAATCTACATAAACATTTACTAATATGACTAACTATTAAACCAGGAAAAACTAAAATTTATTTATAATTCGACCAGAATGACGCTAACAAATTTCATTTTATGACTGTTAATTAAAATCAGTTTACAGTTTGACTGTTCAGCATTTTTTCAATCACACAAAGTATTTCCGTACCTCTTTAAAAAAAAAAGAGAACTTAATCTGTAGATAACTACAAAAGCAATAAATTTTTGGAAACTTGCGCGATTAATATCTTTCATTACTTTTTGTACATGACGAGGTAATTCGTTTAAAATCTTTCCTTCCGCTTTTTCTTCGCATACTTCTGTCTATCTTTTTCTTTAAACCTTTATAATATATGTACATATATAATCGGATCGCTTTTTAGTTTTGCTTTTCTAGCACGTTCCTTCATCTTCTTGATTTCCAATTTTTGGTTTCTGTTTTGATATTCCTTATTCATTTTCAGTGGGAAGCAAGTAGTAATATAAAATTGTGAAAATCAACTGTATTAACTAAACGTTTATATGAAAAAACGTATTATAAAATTCTTGCTTTTCAAAAAAAATTATGGCTTCGATGGCAGGTTTTTCCGACTTCGGTGGAAGCTTTTCTGAATTCGGTGGCACAAAATCCACCGATTCCAAGGCCACGGGATTCAGAAAATATACATATTTTTTATATTACTCGTAAACGACAATACTTGTAAAACCAATAAATTGTTATTATATTTTAGTCGGTACAACACTTATTATAAAAAATATTACATACAACCATAAAATTTAGTTTTTGAAATATCGTATACACCGAATTTAAAAATCAACCTGGACCAAATCCACCGAGTTACGTATTTATAAGCAAATAGTCCTAAAATCGGAAACAAATCGTCCATCTGTTCTTTCCAGCAGCAGGGGCGTGATGAACGAACAATACGAACGTATTCCGAAGCTTCTAAAATGCTACACTTCTGATGTACAGCGTGATTAGTAACTACCACCGAATTCCCTTGAATTGATAACTTTTAAAAATAAAACTCAGAAATACCGCTCCTCAGTTATCAATGCGTAGTAATACATTGTTTGTCAGGCTAATGATGCTGGTTTGCGCCTAACCATTAATACGTAATGTATGATGTGTCTGTTTTTTCTAAAATACTTTCGGCGCGCTGTCCGTAATATGTGCCACAGACATATTGTTATGTTACCTACGATAATATTTAATATGTTTTCAATTTATTATATTGTGTAAATGACGACTGCACGATGTGCGAAAAATCTTTATAGATTTATGCACATTATTTTATTTTAATATTTGTAAATTGGAAAGTGTAATAATAAAAAAAAAATAAAAAAAACTGGCAATATTCGAAATTTTAACGTTCTTTTTAACGTTTTATTAATAACTCCCAAGCATTTAATATAATATTCGTAGAAAGGCTTTAGTTGACCTACTTTAAGAGGTAACAATAAGTATACAGATAACGAAATTGCTGTGAATAAAGTAATAAAACTATATTTTAATTGAATAAAAACAAAGCTATATTTATTTTTAAGTAATTATAAAATTTTGTATTCAAACCAGCAGTTCGAAACTAAAGCCTCTTTATGAACATCATGTTAAATGTATGGGACCTATTAACGCTAAAATTTTGGATATTTCCAGCTTTATTTTTTAAAAGTTATTGATGTGGTTTTACTCATTAGGTAACGCACTTTATATATCAGTTAAGATTTTTGATATCTCTTATAAGTTACGGGATAATCGCCTGGGCACACTTAACGATTGAGCCCCGTATAATATACTACATTTTTCGTCTAATGAAAGTATTTGGAAACAAATGACAAACAACTCTATCAGGTGCTAACCCATAGAGCACCTCTATTCCCACTACAGTACCGGCATGCTATAATGGCCGCTTTGACGTTTGTCCGCTCATCAAGTTTCGTATTAATTCATAACTACGTTGAAGGAGCTAATTGCTGCACATTGTTGTCAATAGTGACGTGCAGTAAAATTCATGGAATGTATAGTTTTACGACACAACTCGGCATTTATTTTTCGAAATTCGAAATTTTTTAAAATGGAATGTAATACGATCGTCTTTTATGGGATCGCTGGACAGCACAACTTGTACCTCCGGCAAACTCGCGTCCATAAGGCTTGAACAGTCGCAAATGACTGACGATTTGAACTCTAATTTCATATTTACAACACAATTTCATACGCCATCTGTGGACTATGCGCTTGTACTTACACAAAGTCAAATAAAGATAAGTTGTAAACTAGAATACAGACGTGTCATAAGTGTTTTTGCAATCTATACCTACATTGTGCATTGTTGTACCTTCAGAGACATTCAAGAATAAACCATAGATATAGAAAAAAAGGGGAGATATGGCGTGGGGGCGTGGTTCGTGTCGCCTCGATATGGTCAAAATGACCATATCGAGGTGACACGCCTACAAACATCGCCACAGTGACATGGCGATCGTTGTACATACAAGATCTCTCGTAAAACGTGAAAATGCCAAGTTGTAGCCATGTAGCGATACACCTTGCAAAAAATGGAATGAAAACAAAAATTTTAAAACCAGTGAGAGAACATTCCACCGGCTATTTGCATTTTTAGTTACTATTTCTATTATTATTCAATGTTTTCTTTTTGTCTTCATAGAAATTTCTAGACTCAAAAATAGTGATGTTCATTTACGATGACTGATGTTTATCGACAATAAACGTTTACTGAAATGTTTGAATTTCTTACTATGATTTTTGTAATTAAAGTCCCTAAAATATCGAAGCGAAAAGCATTCACGTTAAATTGATTTCTTTTATTTTATTATTATTATTATTACTAAACATTTTCTTTCGAGTAACTTTAACACCACTCATATTTCGGACAACGTTTCAATTTCATGTCAATTTGGATGTTGCTGTTGCTTGAAGAAAAATTTATGTGTTTTAGATATTTAAGATATTTAAATTCCATTATACTCGTAGATTAAGCGTAGAGTATTTTAATTTTTAAGTTTTTCCAATGAGTTCAAAATAAAAGAAGGTTGGATTGAAGCTGCAGGAAAATCGAAAGATTGGTTTTCTTATTACTATTTCTGACTTTGTTTCAATTTCCATAGCAAATGCATTTAAAAAATAAATAAAATAAAATCGGCTTTATTTTACTTGTGCATGCAAAATAAATTATAGAAAATTACATAAACCCTTCATAAAAAAACAACAATTTAATTTATTAAATTCGTTGATGGTTCGAGATTACTCTTGACAGTAACAGCTTCACCAACCCGTGGTAACGTATAATGGAAAATTGACACTGGCGACGATCGCCATATTTTTTATATTATTCTTATAAAACTGACACTGGTCCAAGCCTTGGTGGCCGCCATTAAGAAAATAATAATAATTTATATTAATTTAATAATACATCAGTACCAGTGTAGATATAGTATAAAAAATGGAATATTTTTTTAATAATAAAAACAGCCACATGGTTTCCAACTATCGATTAGGTGGGACCACATCACTCGTTGAGCAGCGTCAGTTTAAGGTTAATAAGGTTAACAATTCACGGAGCGGTTTCCATCCGCGCCTGCCGGTGCTGCTAGACAGCGGTTTTATTTCAATACTCACGACCCTGCAAGTTTGTGCGGGCACGTAGCTGCCGCGGTCGCGGGCATGAAACCGTTGCGATTGCGGAACGTACCGCGAATTTAGTGGGAGTTAATCGCAAGTCGCGCGGTTAATAGAGAACTCACCCTGCGTGCGCCTGAACCGACCGCCAAAGTGTGCGAGCGACGACGTCCGCCAAGCGTGCAGGGCATCGCGTCTTGCGCGGTTCTACTAGTACCTTGCCGCGGCAACCGCGAACAACCGTCACCACTACAGGCGTAAAACGCGCCGTGAAATGTGCTACTAATTTTACATACTTAACTATTACATTCTACAGATGCCGCGGTCCCGCGGCAGACGCGGATGAAAACCGCTCCGTGAGTTCTTAGTGTAACGAAAAATGAGTTTCAGCACCATCTAACGTGTAATAGTTAGCTATTATATACTAGTAGTATTTTTACTAAAACGCCACCTATTGGTGAGTGGCTGAACCAGGATGAAAAAATACTGAAATATTGTAATATAACTTTTATTCAAGTGACTGTAAGTTTAATTTTGTTAAATTTTTAAATTGTTTTACGTCGTTTTCACGTTTTAAGCCCTACCCAATTAAAATCTTTAAGTTATGGTAATGGATAATAGAGCGTAAAGTTTGAATTGCACACAAGCTAAAAAGTGGCGGTATCAGCACCCGATGTTACATAGCGTCATTACATATCTCCCCTTTTTTTCTATATCTATGGAATAAACCATCGTAAAAATAAACATTACGTAATATTTTAGGGTCAAAATCGTAACAGCATAAAGTATTAGGTAAATCATGCAATGACTCGATCCTTACATCCTATCAATTAACAACTAATGCTACTATTTTCAATTATAAAAGAGAAGTAGAAGAGATTAGTATGTAGTTAAAATTAAAACAAGTACTTTTATTCGCTGTATTTTAAATGCATTTAACAAACGTCAATTTTTAATAATTAATTACGCGTCATCGAAAGTATAACTTTTATGTATTATTCAATTTGTTTTGTATAATACGTAAATAAACACTTAGACTAATAACAAAAAATAAATAAAAGTTATTACGACCAATACGACTAATTTGTTTTTAACCGATGGAAATGGTACATAATGATACGTATTTTGCGCGAGGTTAAATAAATGTATATTAAAATAGGTAGGTACTTTATTACCATAAATTGTTAACATTAAAAAGCGTCAAAATCTAATTAGCGAGAACAAGTAGGATTAATTGAAGGTGGAGTACTATTTTCTGGCTGAAGCATGGGTTCGTCGTCACGAGGGGAAATATTTGGAATATTATTTGGATCAGTGGTGGTTTTATTCTCTTTGTTTTCTATTTTCTTTAAAAGAAAACTGCAGCAAGTGGCGGTGGGTGGAAAAAAGGCACACTGCGTAGTGAATGCAATGCAGTATTACAGTTTCATTTCTACTAAATAAAGTGGGTATTTCTTTGTGTCCCGCGGTGCAGCGCGGCGCAGCCTGACGTCGCCAGCTTGTGCCGCCTTGGGCACTACGAAGTTTAACTAGGCTTCTCAACAATAAGGTATATTTCTTTGAAAGGCAAACATTGGCTGAGCGAACATCGAACTGCGAACTTTGGAAATAGCAATACAATATAGAACTTCAAATGTGTTAAACACAGTGAATATTTCTTCTCACGGGAATACGCTGTGTGTGTGGTCGTGTTTTAAGCGATTTATAGATTTTACATAAAAATAATATACGAGTACATATAATAATCCAAATACGATGATCTTGGTGGCCCAACAGTTTGCACTGTCGGCACGAGTTCGATTTCGGGCAGTACCAATCAGGGAAATGAACTTTTCTAAAATGGTTTGATTATATTTTTCTAGATAACGAATTGAGATGTGACCTCACAATAGTGAGGTTTTAGGTTTTGTAATCTGTCAAAACGGCCGTCATAGCATGCCGGCACTGTAGTTCAGTTGTCCAGTTCAGTTGACCAAATTAAAACGTGAGCTTCAATGCCCTATGTATAAAATATTGTCAGTCATAGATGCCATTTAATTTTGGTACATTTTTTAAAGGGAACATGTAAATATTTTACTATTAACGTCTGAAATTGAGAATGTGAAATTTAATCGATTACTGTAACAAATAAGACGGTAAATAATTTACCTTTACTTGATTTAGAGCAAAAGCCATCAACTAAAGAATACTCCAACGGTATGTTGTTTGCCTACCTCAGGACTAGCAAGCGTTTTTATGGTTTCTATTTCATTGTCACTGATGACATCATAGAAAAGAAAAACGTTTGGGTTCTTGTTAAGTTCCTCCATCTTGATCGGCGCCAGCTTCAAGAATGGATTACTTTTTAAATACGAGCATTTCAACCTACGGCATGATCAATTAGTTTCATTAACATTTACTACTATTTATTTGTCATTGTTACGATGTCATTGAAACGGGTATTACTTCTTCGTATTTGTTGCAGGTACATCGCTTTCACTACGACATAACGCAGCATAATATTCACTTTCTAAATCAGTATACTGATTAAATGTTTCCTGTAATCGATTGATACGTTTGAGATTAAGAGAATTTGCTTTAAGAATATTTAAATTTGCGATAATTATTCAGCCAGATCATAACTTACGTCACTTTTGGGTCGTCTGATAGCGGTTTTATAAAGCTGCAAAACAGAATTAGTTTCATTAGGTTTCGAAGTATATAGATTCTCCACCCATGCATAGACTTTTGAGGCTGCCGAGAGAAAAAGAGATTCGATGAACACACTTTTGACTTCTTTAAGTCACTCGCTATTTTTTTGCAATAATAACCAACCCAGTGGAATAGGTGAGTAATAATAGGATTTCACAATGTACATCATGATTTCTGTAGCTGTGAAGGGATTCTCGTCCTGCTCATTGAGTTTTTCAAGAGCTACTTCAAACCACTCTGCTGCATATGATTTGTAGTTGTAATATGTACTTTCATATTTGTACAACATCAGAGCCAAATTGTAACAGTCGATCGCCGTCATCGGAGAACTGTAACAGGCATATTCCTACTTCAATACAGGACTTCAGTAGCAGTAGAGCTCATTGTGAAAGAGTTCGTCCAGGGAAGTACTGCCATCTTACCTATTTCTGCCGTCAAACCGTGAACATTACAGCTTTTCTGTTTAGAAGGGTAAGGGTGCTGGTGAAATTACAGAAAAATTGGACTTTTCAATTTATGTCTCAAGGTGACGGGCGCAATTGCAGTGCCCCTCTGGGGGCGTATTATGAACTTTTAAAAAACTATGCAAGTTCCAGGCAATTCTTCTTACGCCTAAAAAGTGACTGGATAAAATTCGTACTACGACATACGACATACGTATTTTTCGCTGACGTCTCGCTGGTTATTTTGTCTATGACTGGGACTTGACTAGCTCGTGCTTTTTAATGTAACGTTCAAAAACATGGATGAATATTTACCGGTAAGTGACGGTGTTATATTCGTCACTTAGTTTAAGAGAAAAATAATAGATACGTATTATTCATGTACGAAAATAAATAAAGACACTATATAATAATAATAATAATAAAAACACTATATTATAATAAAATCAATACACTATATTTTAATTTTAGTAAATAAGAGAAAAGCGCAAATTAAGTTTCCGAACGACGACATCCAACATCGACGAAATTCCGCGGGTAAATGTTTACTTTGTAGTTGTTGAAAACATGTCAAAAACGTTTTAAGAATATTTGACTATAAATTAAATTGTAAGAAATTATACTTGGCTTTAGTGAAAAATAACCTTAGTTTCAACCAATAAATCGGTGGATTTTCTAGGCCTCGACATATGGCGGGCCATGCCCAGGGTCAGAGGGACCCCGGGCAAAAAGAGTGTGTACTGGTGGACCGCGGAGATTGGGGACCTCCGCATCGCCTGTACCACGGCCCGGCGGGCCTACGGCCGATGCCGCCGCAGGCGCCACACTCAAAGTGAGGAGAGAAGGCTCCACAGCGCCCTTCAGGGTGCGAGGCAGGCCCTGAAGGTCGCAATAGGGCGGGCCAAGGACTCTGCGAAAGAGGAGTTCTTGGCCACCCTAGACGCGGACCCATGGGGGAGGACGTACAAAGTTGTGCGCAACAAAATGTACGGCGCATCTCCCATGGAGTCACTGGAGCTGGATCTCCTCAACCGGGTGGTGGAGGGCCTTTTCCCCGAACCGCAGCCCTTCACCCCACCGGCCACGGTGCCCCCCAGAGCAGACGGGGGGCAGACTGAGGAACCCCCCCCCGGAAATCACCGAGGGGGAGTTGGAGTGGGCGGTGGGACGGCTGCGAGGGCGGAAGAAGGCTCCCGGCCCGGACGGGGTACCGGGACGAGTCCTTCGCATTGCCCTGAAGCATCTCGGGACCCGCCTCAAGCATCTCATGCATGACTGCTTGAGGACGGGGTTGTTCCCGAGATGCTGGAAGGAGGGAAGGCTCGTCCTGGTGCCCAAGCCGGGCCGACCTGCGGACTCCCCCTCGGGGTTCAGGCCCCTGGTCCTGCTGGACGAGGTGGCAAAGATCCTGGAGCGAATCATCGCCTCCAGGATCAACGAACACCTGAGGGGGACAGGCCCCGATGTGTCGCAGCGGCAGTACGGGTTCAGGGCTGGACTCTCCACCCTGGACGCCCTGGAGTCGCTGCGACACATCGTGGAGGAGGGTAACGGCGAGGGGGAAGGCGTGGTGGCTGTGTCATTGGACATAGCCAACGCCTTCGGCACTCTCCCCTTCGCCGTTATCAGGGAGGCGCTGAGGCTATTCGGAGGACAGGGTGGTGCTCTACCAGACGAGGGAAGGGAGGCGCGCCGAGCGCCCAATGAGGTGCGGAGTACCCCAGGGGTCCGTATTAGGACCACTACTGTGGAACCTGGGGTACGATTGGGTGCTGAGGGGCGCGCTGCTCCCCCGGACGGCGGTCATCGCGTACGCCGATGACACGTTGGTGGCCGTCCGGGAGACCACCTTCCAGGAGGCGGCCCGAAGAGCCTCAGTAGCGGCGGACATGGTGGTCCGCCGAATACAACTGCTGGGGCTCGAGGTCGCCGTGCCGAAGACGGATGTGGCCGTCTTCGGCGGGAGGGGTAGAGGTTGGGCGGTGCCGGCAGGCGCCCACATCTCCATCGCGGGAGTATCGGTCCCGGTCAAGTCCCAGATGAAATATCTGGGACTTGTCCTGGACCGGCGATGGAACTTCGGGGAGCATTTCCGGCAACTTGCTCCCCGAATAGTGGGCGCCGCATCGGCGTTGGGCAGGCTCCTGCCCAACCTCGGGAGGCCGGGGGCCCCATGCAGAAGGCTATACGCCGGGGTGACTCGGAGTATGGCCTTATACGGGGCTCCCATTTGGAGTGGGGCCATATCAGCGGCGACGAAGGCGCTGCTGAGGACCCAGAGGGTGGTCGCCCTGCGAATGTGCAGGGCGTACAGGACGGTGGCCTGCGCTGCCGCATGCGTCCTCGCCGGTACTCCGCCGTGGGACCTCGAAGCCGAGGTCCTGGCGGAGGTCCGCACCTACCGGCGGGGAATGAGGGACCGAGGCGAGCGACCCGCTCCCCAAGAGGTGGAGCGGGAGCGCCGCCTCGCGGCGCAGCGCATGCGGGACCGGTGGAAAGAGGGCTTGGCGGATCCCCCCTATGGCGCTCGTACCATAGAGGCGATCCGCCCTGTCCTCGTAGAGTGGGTAAACCGGTCCCACGGGCCACTGTCGTACCACCTTGTGCAGGTGCTGACCGGGCACGGCTGCTTCGGTCACTACCTGCACAAGGTGGCGAGGAGGGAACCGTCCCCATCGTGCCACGAGTGCGGCGCTGCGGATGACACCGCGCAGCACACCCTAGAGGTGTGTAGCCGGTGGGATGAGCAGCGCCGTACTCTGACGGGGACTGTAGGGCAGGACCTCTCGCTGCCGAGCGTGGTTGCCGCCATGCTCGATAGCGAGAAGTCCTGGGAGGCGGTGGCCTCCTTTTGCGCAGAGGTTATGTCGCAAAAGGAGGCCGCGGAGCGGGTGCGCGAGGATGCGGTGGACGCGCACCCGCTCCGGCGCAGACGTACGGGGAGAAGGCGAAGGCAGTTCGCTGCTCGCCTGATCCCCTAGTGAGACCAGCGGGCTCAGGACAGGGACTCCGGAGCCTGCATTGCACGGCCTCACTCGTCTGGGGGGCGGGTCGGAGGACAACCGACTAGCCCCTCCGTTGGCGCGGGAGCCCTGGCGTAAGCTAGGGCGGCCGGGCGGCGTCGTGGTGAATGTTCACTGATCCCACGGCGCCGACTCAACCGGCGAGAGGGAAACCCGGGGGGGTTTTAGTGGGGTAGGCCCTCCAGTCTGGAGGGAGAGTCCCCACATAACCCCTAAGTCTCCCTGGGCTCAGGGGTATCCATAAAGATTTCCCCCCGTAAAAAAAAAAGAAAAAAAAAAAAGGCCTCGACATATGCGGTTTAAGTTCATCGCAAAGATTGTGGACCATATCTTTCCTAAGCTGGTATATTTTCATAAATTGTTGTGCATCCATTTCAAATGGATCACTACGATCTCGCAGTTGTCTTCTTTGGATTTTTTCCATATTATTATCATGTGAAGCATCACTTTCGAGATATTCAAACATTTTGTATTCATCACACATGATGAAACGATTGCCTAAAAATATATAAACTCAAAATTATGATAACGATTATACAATTATGCACAAAACAATTCAATAAAAGCTACACTAAGACACTGTAAACCATTGACTTACAATTATATGGACTTCGGGTCCGCGCTAAAAAGTGTCCGAACTTATAGGGCGTTAAAATCGTATACACAGCGTCATTCACGCTTTAGTCTTCGTTTGTTCGACTGACAGCGAAGCAAGAAAAATTAGACAGTACTGCGATGACATTACAATTTAAATTCAACGTTTTAGCTTTTTCATATTCCTTTACATGTCACTACGTTTAAATAGGTTGACTTGGGACATTTTTTTCGTGGTTTTTGTATTAGACCCGTCGTCCATTTATTTGTAAGTCAATGCTGTAAACTGAATGGTTTATATTTGTTACTTTTTGACAGATCAACCGTTTACAAAATGTCAAAATAACGTTTGTAATACGATATTGCCAACCAAATTTCGGGCAGAAGACAGCCTAGTGTCACATGTTCGCTGAGTATTACCAGTTCATAATACGAAATTACAAGGCAGTTTACTTTAAGGCGTATATCGCGTGGAAATAAGAGTTCAAATTAGGCCCCCAGATCATTGCGATTTATCGCTCTGAGCAGCACTTCAAATGTTAAGGATAGGTGTATCGCTTACCACTGAGCGTGTCACTTGGTATCCTAAAAAGTACTAAATGTTATATGGACAACTACCGTATGATTTTTGCACCGTGTGAACTAAACGCCGTAGTTTTAAAAACAGATGTATATCATTTAGATAATTCGTCCTGGACAAAATGGACGGTGGTCTATCATGAGAAATTATTTTAATAACTTGGTATCTCCTTATCGTGTTTCCTTCTCTAATTGCACAAGACTTACCCAGTTGCTGGAGAGACAACATACTGAAAAATAAATTATAAAACCGTTTTATTGCTGTAATATTCCATAAAAGGTAACAAGTGGGTATGTTAAGCGCTAACACGGTCTCTGTAGTGTCATCAAAGATAGTGAGGTTGTTATTTTGAAAAATTCCTTCCAGATTTCCTTCAGCTAGTTGTTTAGTATTTAACTTGTAAAATGTTTGTAGCCGAGCAATAGCCGCGGCTGCTCCGACTAAGTCCTCTTCTTGCGGATATAACAATTCTCGATTATAAAAGAACTCTGTTGGCAAAGAAACGTTTTTTTGAACAACAATTAGATTAACACGAACACCCGGTTTTTTAGTTTCATAATTCCGGACCCTTGTTATAATAAAGCTACTACATGTGATTATGCGTCCTAAGAGTTTTTGTCACGTGAAAGTCATAAAAAGTAATACGAAGTACATGAAACAAATTAGGTTTATGGGTGTAAGA